GCTCATCATGTTGATCACTGGATTGTCTGGTCCAGACTCGATTATTTACAGACCAACGCCATATAGCTGGAATATTGCTGAGTCCGGCGTAAAACTAAACTCACTCACTCACTCACTACATCCATGGGAATCAACCTGGATCCGGGTTAGAATTGGTCTTCAGTAAACCATGCTTGTCACGAGTGGCGACTAACAGGATCGTGTGGTCAGGCTCGCTGACAAATGTCATCATATCCGAATTGCGTAGAATGATGGCTCATGATGTTGATCACTGGATTGTATGGTCCAGACTCGATTATTTACAGGCCGCTGCCATATAGCTGGAATATTGCAACCAACCATCCAAACCAATGTCATGAAATCAGGTTAGAATTGATCTTCAGCTGATTGCTTATCAGTAGAGTCAATTTACCAGATGGGATGGTTAGACTTGCTGACTTGGTTGACTGATGTCATCATATCCCAATTATGTACATCAATGTTCATGATGTCGATCAATGAACTGTTCGGTCTGAACATGATTATTTGCAAACTGCCGTCATACAGCTTGAATATTGCTGCTGGATTGGGCGCGCTGATCAACAACCAACCATACACATCCATGTGATGACTCAGGACAGCACAAAAACATAAAATACAATTTCCCTGACATATCATGAAGGTTAATTATATTAATAAAATTACACCCTGGTTCATAAAACCAATTGGGTAGACAGAGAGATCAAATATATTAAATGCCCAAACAAAACTAACGGTACCAGCATTCGTAACTACTCGCCTCTTTCCGTGACCTACAAGAAGACTCGTACCTGTATAGTACGCCATTATTGCCAAAAATCGTGGCAAACCAATCAAATCTCGTGTAGTAAAATGTGAAATGAGGTCAAACAGTTTCTTTGCGATTATTGATTTTCATTACTATTTTCATGATTATAAAATCATCTTGTTACTAATATTTGTTAATGACATAAGAAACTTACTAAAAGTGACTTTCGTGTTGCATTATAAATTAATTGGTGTAGGAAATAGTTAACACATTTCGAAGCATAAAATTGACGTATCGTCGAACTTTGAAACTTTGCAAAATGATGGAAATTCAGAGTTATCTTTCCTTGGAAATAGTCCTAGATTATTTTCATCTACGTGCCCATTTGTGCTTAGATAAGGCCCAGTCACCAACATGGCCACGAAAGGGGTACGAGTTGCCATCCGGTTTGCCCGAATTACATGAGTAGCTACAAGTATCGGCACCACATGCCAACAAGAGGGTAAACACTTAACAACTCAAAACATAATCTGGAGTTCCATAAAATCAGTAACGAAGGCATATTTCTTCGGTCTATCATGAACAGTGGTCGCCATTAAAAAAGGATAGAAATGCTGCCGTATTTTAATGTTGGTCAGGCAACCGTAACCAGAATGTTTTCACTTTATCCCAAAGATAATGTGTCCCACATAAATAAATAAAACATTAGATACATGAAATGTCATAATGCTTGAACATAAAATCATGTATATGTTGTGCATTTATTAGTATTTAGTATTAACATCGGACAAAATATACATAAAATCAACAATTTCTTTCTTGCAATTGCATTTCATAATTGCTATGATGGACATTATTCTTTGTGACGTCACTCACTATCCAGAGTACCAACATCATTCACTATCCAGTGTGACAATGTCACTACCCTGTGTGATGTCACAATCCAGTGTAACGTCACTACCCTGTGTGATGCCACAATCCAGAGTAACAACATCACTATCCTGCACAATGCCACTATCCAGTGTAATGTCACTGTCCTGTGTCACGGCACTATCCAGTGTAATGTCACTACCCTGTGTGACATCACTTACCAGTGTAACAGCATCACTATCCTGCGTGACATCACAATTAAGTGTAACATCACTATCCTGTGTGACATCACAATTAAGCATAACATCACTATCCTGTGTGACATCACAATTAAGTATAACATCACTATCCTGTGTGACACCACAATTAAGCGTAACATCACTATCCTGTGTGACATCACAATTAAGCGTAACATCACTATCCTGTGTGACATCACAAAAAAAGCATAACATCACCATCCTGTGTGACATCACAATTAAGTGTAACATCCCTATCCTGTGTGACATCACAATTAAGTGTAACATCACTATCCTGTGTGACATCACAATTAAGTGTAACACTCACTATCCTGTGTGACATCACAATTAAGTGTAACATCACTATCCTGTGTGACATCACAATTAAGTGTAACATCACTATCCTGTGTGACATCACAATTAAGTGTAACATCACTATCCTGTGTGACATCACAATTAAGTGTAACACTCACTATCCTGTGTGACATCACAATTAAGCATAACATCACCATCCTGTGTTCCATCACAATCCAGTGTAACAACGTCACTACCCAGTGTAATGTCACTACCCTCTGTGATACTACTAACCCACATGACAAAAACATCACTACCCAGTGTCACAATGCCACTATCCCTTGTGGCAATGGACTATCTTCACCACACGAGTTAAACTTTCCCAACCAGGGATCTATACAGTACAACAGAGCTGAACATCTGTACCCTCACCTTTTAAAAACAACTCCCTGGACATCAAGATGGATTCCAGCCATATTTGTGATTATACACATGCCTACAATAATATACAAGGTTGCAGGAAGCAAAAGCACCTTTCATATATAAAAATATATCTCTCATATAGTCATAATATTGTACATCATCAACAAGTTCTGGACCCTCAAGACTACCACTGCCATCGTCACATGAGGATGCTGTTTTAGAAGATTCAATGCCGAATGATTAGCCGATGCATTAGTGTAAATAATTTTTAGAGGGTTCCAATAAATGTAACTGGAATAATATTTTCATTTTTGATTCATCTCATATAAATATCAGTAACAAGCAATCAGTAATCACTCAGGACTGTTTCCATGGCTACAGACGTTTTTGTGTCACACATTACATTAAATCAATGTTCCTATATCTATCAAACCTTAAATTAATTTAATATTTAATCTTTGTAATCTTCATGTAAATAAACAAAAGGTTCTGGGCCCTCAAACAGTGATACACATAGCATTGCATCTGTTGTTTTTAAAATCAATAATTTGCCTTGAATTACTGGACACACAACCAGTTTATACACCAGTAGTATAATCCACTTGGTACTGGACACATTGTCTTGACACACAAAGACACTATGTACATGCTGCTTTCTTACAACTATTTCTGTATGCAGTCAAACCCCCGATGCCTCAAGCTTCTGGAGACCAGAATTAGATTGACTCAGGGTTTTCCACAGACTTTTGAAAATGAGAGTCATTGTGACTCACAATATTTATTTTTGGGAGTCATTTTCAACATTTAGGAGTCATGAAATTCTTTTAATATTTCTTTGCGTTTAATATTCTCAGTATGTAACTGTGTATGTCACACCACCAAATCGATTTTATTGAACTGAATTGTGAGGGCCACCTATAAAACTTGCGTCAAGCTTGACTCGTATGATAGTATTTTGAGAGTCGTTAACAAAATTGTAGTGTCAAATACGCAGGAATCATGCGTCATGTAAAACCATGTTGACTTGTCTGGGATGTGACACGTCCTACTCTTCTTACTAAACATCTGAGGAGAAGGGGAAGAATCTGGTTTATAGCTGAACTAAACCAGGTCCCTGATGTGACAAGCTGTTGTTTTCTACCATGTTTTGCCTGTCCTTCACGTTCAGCCACAATATTGGATACAAATTCTTCTTTGTTTTTCACCTTTGATCTTGACGTATCACAATGAATTTTATCCCAGGACTATAGATTTAGTCTGACACAACAGAGAATCTGACACATATAGTTTCACATGTCAAGGTTTAAAAACAGATAAATAACATACTTATGAGGGGAGGTCTGTAAGTTCACCATGACTGGGGATTTGACACAACTGAGTTTGAGACAACGGAGTTTGTCTGTATAGATTGTTATGCTACATCTTGTACAGATTATCTGCTAGTAATTCCAGAGATATTACAGTACATCAACTTGTTATCCCAAAGCCACAACAGTATATCAGCTTGTTATCCAAGAGTCATTACAGTATATCAGCTTGTTATCCCAGACATTACAGTATATCAGCTTGTTATCCCAGTCATTACAGTATATCAGCTTGTTATCCCAGAGTCATTACAGTATATCAGCTTGTTATCCCAGAGTCATTACAGTATATCAGCTTGTTATCCCAGAGTCATTACAGTATATCAGCTTGTTATCCCAGAGTCATTACAGTATATCAGCTTGTTATCCCAGAGCCATTACAGTATATCAGCTTGTTATCCCAGAGTCATTACAGTATATCAGCTTGTTATCCCAGAGTCATTACAGTATATCAGCTTGTTATCCCAGAGTCATTACAGTATATCAGCTTGTTATCCCAGAGTCATTACAGTATATCAGCTTGTTATCCCAGAGTCATTACAGTATATCAGCTTGTTATCCCAGTCATTACAGTATATCAGCTTGTTATCCCAGAGTCATTACAGTATATCAGCTTGTTATCCCAGAGCCATTACAGTATATCAGCTTGTTATCCCAGTCATTACAGTATATCAGCTTGTTATCCCAGTCATTACAGTATATCAGCTTGCTATCCAAGAGTCATTACAGTATATCAGCTTGTTATCCCAAAGTCACAACAGTATATCAGCTTGTTATCCCAGTCATTACAGTATATCAGCTTGTTATCCCAGAGTCATTACAGTATATCAGCTTGCTATCCCAGAGTCATTACAGTATATCAGCTTGTTATCCCAGAGTCATTACAGTATATCAGCTTGTTATCCCAGTCATTACAGTATATCAGCTTGTTATCCCAGTCATTACAGTATATCAGCTTGTTATCCCAGTCATTACAGTATATCAGCTTGTTATCCCAGTCATTACAGTATATCAGCTTGTTATCCAAGAGTCATTACAGTATATCAGCTTGTTATCCCAGTCATTACAGTATATCAGCTTGTTATCCCAGAGTCATTACAGTATATCAGCTTGTTATCCCAGAGTCATTACAGTATATCAGCTTGTTATCCCAGAGTCATTACAGTATATCAGCTTGTTATCCCACAGCATATTGCTAGCTATTCCAAGACATGACGTTGGCAGTAACAGTAGATGTTGGTTTGTGACAACTTCGGCCTCAGGTGTTGCAAGGGTGACCCAGGTTCAGGTACTCCATCAGGCAGCCCATAGCTCCAAAGTAGCCCTAGAATCATAGAACACCATCAGATAGAACATCATCAAATAGAACACCAACAGATAGAACACTATCATGTAGAATACCATCACACAGAACACCTACACATAGAACATCATCATATAGAACACCAACAGATAGAACACCAACAAATAGAACACTATCATGTAGAATACCATCACACAGAACACCTACACATAGAACATCATCATATAGAACACCATCACATGGAACACTATCACATAGAACACCAACAGATAGAACACCGTCACATAGAACACTAACAGATAGAAAACCATCACAAAGAACACCAACAAATAGAACACCATCACACAGAACACCATCAGATACAACATCAATGAATAGAACCCCAACATAAAGGACACCAACAAATAAAACACCATCAGATAGAACACCCTAAGATAGAACACCATCTGAACACCAACAGTTAGAAAACCATCAGAGAAAACACCATCACACAGAACACCATCAGATGGAACACTATCACATAGAACACCATCAGATAGAACACCATCACATAGAACACCATCAGATAGAACACTAACAGATAGAAAACCATCAGATAGAACACCATCACATGGAATACTATCACATAGAACACCATCAGATAGAATACATCAGATAGAACACCATCACATAGAACACCATTTCATAAAACACCGTCAGATAGAACACCAGCAAATAGAACACTAACAGATAGAAAACCATCACATAGAACACCATCAGATAGAACACCATCACATGGAACACTAACAGATAGAAAACCATCACATGGAACACTAACAGATAGAACACCATCAGATAGAACACCATCACATAGAACACCATCACATAGAACATCATCACATAGAACACTAACAGATAGAAAACCATCACATAGAACACCATCAGATAGAACACCAACAAACAGAACACCATCACATAGACATGCACCTACAGAACAGCATCAACAAGCCATGGAAACAAACAAAGAACAACTACAAACAGGCATCTACAGTGAGTGAGTGAGTATGGTTTTACGCTGCTGTTAGCAATATTCCAGCCATGTCAAGGCGGAGGATACCAGAAATGGGCTCCACACATTGTGCCCATGTGGGGATTCGAACCCAGCAGGCATCTACAAGTCCTGAAAGCATATAATATGATCAGATAGAACATCAACTGACAACAAAATACACTGAAGGTGATCAGGTACATCACCAGACAGGCATCTAATAGACAGAAATACCCTAAACAAACAGGCATCTACCAGTCCTGCTAACTCATAGTGAACACATTCAGACAGTATCATATCTGCCTATACTGACCTCATGCTCCAGGAAGAGGGCCTTGAGTGACCCTCCTGACCAGAAGTCCATGGCATAGGCCAGCAGTTTCATGGAAATAGTGTTCACTCGCAGGAAGTTCCCCACAAACACCACACGCTCGATTTTCTGGAAGATAATGAAAACTAGTGTTGGGAATTGGTTAAAATATCATAATTGATGATTGGTTCATTACCACCGATCAATCATCGAAAATAATTGGTTAGCGTCATTTATGAAATTTGTTAATGCACAATAAAATAAGGAAAAAAACATGTAGTTATTTTTGGGGTATTTTGGGCAAAATTTCACATCTTTAAAGGATGACTAGTATGTTAGAAACATAAATTTCTTGGTGTCTTTAAGATGAATTCAATCACGACTTGGAACAAGCTTGTAGTGCTTATGAAATGTAACAGACAAAACCAACCTTGTGAAAAATATTGTTGATGAAAACAAGTGTTCCAGAATTGTTTTTGTTCGATTATGAGAAAACATGATTGATTGCTTGGTCGTTTAGTCACTGCGACCAATCTTCGATTATTTCAATTAATCGGACCACCACTAATGAAAACAACCTAAGCATATACCAAACCTAAATGCTGCAAAATTTAAGTCCATTAAGTAGAAACTGGGATAATGGCATTCTTAAGGGAACTAATTCCACAGATGATATGCTCACACAAAGGTGAGTGAGTGAGTGAGTTAATATTTAATGTCACATCGGCAATCTCACACAAAACAATAAGCTGATCTTTATCACCGCTGGACTTTATTCCAAGCATGGGCCATAAACAGCTAAAACAAATTGGTTCTCAGGCAATGGCTTTTGAAACATTGGTGCAGAAAGGTGGCATTTTCTTTTTTCAACTTTGGAAAGAGGTGAGGTGAGGTGAGGTGAAATTGGGTTTAACGTCGTACTTGAGAATATTTCGCTCATATGACGACGTGCATGCGTGTGTATGTGTATGTGCGGCTGCTTGTACTAGCCCAGACTTAAGCTGGTTTTATAGGGCTAGCCCACTGAGATACCATGCCGCAGTGAAGCTTGAATACCCCACTCAGACACATTATATTGACTCCGAGCCGACCAGTCCTTCTTGTACCCATTAATGCCGAGCGCCAGGCAGGGACCAACAAGTACCATATTTTAACGTCTTTTGGTATGACGCGGTCGGGGATCAAACCCGCGACCTTCCGCTCTCCGGGTGGACGCCTAACCACTACACCACGGAGGCGGTCCCTTGGAAAGTGCTTCCATATATATATAATAGTACTTTAAGTACAATACTTGTCATTTTATGCCTTCATCCAATTTGAAGCGGCTTGTTGTGGTCACCACATTAACTCTTCAGGCAGGAAGTCCAACAGTTCATACATCCCTAATTCATAGAACTCAACTTGAACCAATAATCTATTTAAGCCCAACAACCAGATAACCAGCTATGTATGTAGCAGATGCACTTATGTTTTTGTGGTCAACTTTGCCAATGTATTCCAATATCCAGTGAATTAGTGAAATACAGGGAATACAGTAGCAGTGTTCAACAAACTCTGATTTTGTTTGTCAACGCAAAAAGAATATCTTAAGCACATAAACCCAGAAACAGTCTACCAGCAGACCAAAACTTCAGTAAATATGTTCGTTTTCTTATTTTGCTATCTGGCCATAAAGGTGTTCATTTATACATTAGTAATGTATTGTAACAGTTTTAATCAAGATCACTCACCGAATTAGAGACCAGCATAACAAGCTCAAAGATTTACCGCCATCATTACGATGACATGATATGAGCAGTTCTGTATAACGCGTGGGAAGGGAGGTAACTGCATGCTGTATTGGATCCATAGTGGTTGTGTGTTCGCAATGCTGTATATTTATCAAATTGATTAATTATTAACGGAAAGAAAATCTAAACGTGCTGCAAACTTTGTTGTGATGCCGCAGTGCCAGAAAACCAAGACTATATTTCTTAAGTCCATCTCAGTAACAGACCAAGGGCAATCGGCCAACAGTATTAATAACCAATGTATTTGTGTTTACTGGTGGTGGTGGTGTTGGTGGAATTGGGTTTTACGTCGTGCTTGAGAATATTTCGCTCATATGACGACGTGTGCATGCGTGTGTATGTGTATGTGCGGCTGCTTGTACTAGCCCAGACTTAAGCTGGTGTTATAGCGCTAGCCAACTGAGATACCATGCCGCAGTGAAGCATGAATACCCCACACAGACACATTATACTGACTCCGAGCCGACCAATCCTTGATGTACCCATTAATGCCGAGTGCCAGGCAGGGACCAACAAGTACCATATTTTAACGTCTTTAGGTATGACGCAGTCAGGGATCGAACCCACGACCTTCTGCACTCCGAGCGGACGCTCTAACCACTACACCACGGAGGCGGTTTGTGTTTACTGGTTGAAGATGGCCATGTAGACCCATATGACCTGAGTACTGACCTCTGTGACGGCACACATCCGTGCTATTGAGCCAATGTTGTTGGTGATGGTAACCAGGGTTGCCTTGGCCAGATCAGCCCTTGAAGCCGTCTCTCTCCGATCTTTGCTCATCATCTGGCCAAAACTGGAACACGGTCAAGCAACAGTGTTAACGGTGGATGTAGAATTATTATTATCATAGTATATGGGTATTTATATAGCACTATAGTCCATCCCATCTACATGCATGCTCAAAGCGCTTTGCTTTTTCCCTTGAGCACTGGATGTCAATCTCAACGGCACATCGTATTTTCAATCTCAACTCCCTGGGGAATTGATGCTTTTGACATGCCCCTTACAAGTGTTGTGTCGACAACACTGTTTCTCTTCTGTATTATATGTTCCAAGACCTAATTCTTTAATTATCAACTTTTTTGCCTGTCCAGTGAACTTCATTTTGTCATCAGCAGACAGCAGTTATCACGAAATGCCCGTGCATCAAATGCACCTGTCTATTCCCGTTGCTGCCGTGTGCCCCTCAGCGCCAACAATCATGTTTATAATGATGATAGTTTGTTAAACAACTTTTTCTGAGATTCATGACAACTTCTAATAGCTGAAAAGGTGCTTGGGTATTGGTTATTCATGAATCATCTTGCCCTAAGTATAGCTAGCTAAACTATTTATTAACTACCTTTTACTAAACTGATATATGGATATAGCATAAAAATTTGAATGGGGACACTTATCGCGATCTAGTCAAAAAGACTGTAGGGGTTGTTTGACAACACTGAAAGAGTCTGCACACAAATTGTTGACTCATCTTGCCTCGGTTTTTACAACCCTTTCTAAACTGATCACAGGTGGTCAAACAGACTGTAGGTCCACTGAAAACTGCACACAAAGTTGCTTTACATCACTAGCCCTCCTTAGACAGTTTGCCCACCACAGCTATCTACCTGTGATGCAGTTGTTAATTGCGCTTACTTACCAGTGTGGAACCAATCTTTCATTACTGGTCACAACCCAATCTTCCAGTGTTGTTTCCTCTCTACCTGTATCTACCGTCGATGGCCCCTACCTACCATCGTTGGCCCCTGCCTACCGTCGATGGCCCCTGCCTACCAACACTGTCCCCTATCTACCATTGCTGGCCCCTATCTACCAGTGATGTTCCCTATCTACCAGTGATGTCCCCTATCTACCATTGCTGGCCCCTATCTACCAGTGATGGCCCCTATCTACCAGTGATGTCCCCTATCTACCATTGATGGCCCCTATCTACCAGTGATGTCCCCTATCTACCAGTGATGGCCCCTATCTACCAGTGATGGCCCCTATCTACAAGTGATGGCCCTCTACCAGTGATGGCACTGTCCCCTATCTACCCTGTGATGGCCCTGCCTACCAACACTGTCCCCTATCTACCAGTGATGGCCCTATCTACCAGTGATGTCCCCATCTACCAGTGATGGCCCCTATCTACCAAGTGATGGCCCCTATCTACCGTAGTGATGGCCCCTGCCTACCAACACTGTCCCCTATCTACCAGTGATGGCCCCTATCTACCAGTGATGTCCCCTATCTACCAGTGATGTCCCCTATCTACCAGTGATGGCCCCTATCTACCAGTGATGGCCCCTATCTACCATTGCTGGCCCCTATCTACCAGTGATGGCCCCTATCTACCAGTGATGGCCCCTACCTACCAGTGATGTCCCCTATCTACCAGTGATGGCCTCTGCCTACCAACACTGTCCCCTATCTACCAGTGATGGCCTCTATCTACCAGTGATGTCCCCTATCTACCAGTGATGGCCCCTTGCCTACCAACACTGTCCCCTATCTACCAGTGATGGCCCCTATCTACCAGTGATGGCCCCTATCTACCAGTGATGGCCCCTATCTACCAGTGATGGCCCCTATCTACAAGTGATGGCCCCTATCTACAAGTGATGGCCCCTATCTACCAGTGATGGCCCCTATCTACCAGTGATGGCCCCTATCTACCAGTGATGGCCCCTATCTACTAGTGATGGCCTCTGCCTACCAACACTGTCCCCTATCTACCAGTGATGGCCCTATCTACCAGTATCTCTACCAGTGATGTCCCCTATCTACTATCTACCAGTGATGGCCCTATCTACCAGTGATTGCCCCTATCTACCAGTCTTGTCCCCTATCTACCAGTGATGGCCCCTATCTACCAGTCCTGTCCCCTATCTACCAGTGATGGCCCCTATCTACCAGTCCTGGCCCCAATCTGCCGACACCATCCCCTATCTACCAGTGCTGGCCCCTACCTACCAGTGATGTCCCATATCTACCAGTGATGTCCCCTATCTACCAGTGATGGCCCCTATCTACCAGTGATGTCCCCTATCTGCCGACAACGTACCCTATCTACTAGTCCTGTCCCCTATCTACCAGTGCTGGCCCCTATCTGCCGACACCGTACCCTATCTACCAGTGCTGGCCCCTATCTACCAACACCATTATTCTTCTACCAGATGCGTACCTGCTGGCTACAGTCTCCCCTTTCAGGTTGAACTTGTCGTAGTCACCGCCGTAGATGTCACGCACAAGCTTGTCCACCTTGGTGGCATCCCCCTCAGACGCCAGCTGGATGGCATCCTCAAACGTCTCACAATTTGTCAGCAGACAACACAAACCCAGGAATGTTCCACCTCCCAGACTGAAACAAAAGGTCAACAGGCTGAACATGAAAGAAAGTGATAACTGATGGCGACATCCCTTTATAGAAGCCACACAAAAGCTACATACAGCTACAAACATGATAAACGGGCATACAAGTTGATAGAGAAATATGTATCAAAACTCCATGCATTACCTAATTATATGGTCACATCTTGACATTTCCAAAATGGCTGCCTGGCACAAGTATTTTTTGAACTGTCAACGAACATACTGACTTGTACAAAAACTCACCTGGTTCCTGAGACTCTCCTGTATTCAGAAGGAGACTTGACAGCCAAGATGCTGACACCTGATCCAATATTGACAACGAGGTAGGGATATGGATTCCTGAAGTCGAATGGGACCTTCTGACAGAGCTGGGAGTTGCCTGGGTCAGTCCAGTAGTAGCACTCGAAGGAGGGGTTGAAGCGATCGATGTAGTGGATACCCTTTAGGAGGCACTCAAGCTCGTCATACTTGTGAAGGCGCAGATTCACCATCTGTGCGAGGAAATACAGGTATAAGTTATTCTTTCTCAGAATTGGCTCGTCACGCGACCAATCCCCACATGGGTACAATGTGTGAGGTGTCCCCGCCGTGATGTTGCTGGAATATTGCTAAAAGCGGCGTAAAACCAAACTCAGTCAGTCAGTCTTTCTCAGAAAAGGAAGGGTGATAGTGAGTGAGTGAGTGAGTGAGTTTAGTTTTACGCTGATTTAAGAATATTCCAGAAACATCACAGCAGGGGGACACCAGAAATGGGCTTCACACATTGTACTCATGTGGGGAATCCAACCTGGGTCTTCAACGTCTTCAATGCTTTAACCACTAGGCTACCCCACTGCCCCCCCACATGGGAAATAGGCAGCTATTGTACACAGCCCAGTGTGTTGTGAAAAGGTTGCTTGTTTACTGCTGAATACCCTGACCAGTGATACATTTCAACAGCCATATTTTGAAGAATCTTTAGTATGGGGTAAAGATGCGTTTGGGTAAACTTGGTGATAAGTATCAAAGAAAATAACTCATGTGTGATCACGTGGCTTCCTATTTACATACCAGCAGACAACTGATCTTACTGAATTTCCGCTTGCTATTTTTTGTCATAAAGGCAACTGATTTTGCACCTGAAGTTGATGTTTGTTTGCTTTTTATATAACTTAACTTCCCGATTTCCATTGTCAATAAAACTTCTCCCGACAGCGACTGGGCATCCGCCCTACCGATGAAACAACTTGTGCACTCCAATCGCGCACATTCTCCCCCGATATAGCGCGAGCAATGCAATCGTTGAAATCACCAGAACGTCGAATTCAGCTCGTTTTGGGATACCTACCAGCCACAAATAATGCATACCTCCTTATACACAAGCCATAAATATAGATATACCTATATATAGATATTACTTGCCTCAAATAAAGGTGTGATTTTGCCACAGGCCCTCGTGTCTTTGCGAGGATTAATGATTAAAAAAATATTGTTTTTGAGATGACCCCCGACACAAATGGCTGACGATATATCCGCACAAAACGGGGGTGTAGTCGAAGCAAGCCCTTTGGTTGGTCAATGCTGCTAAATCTGCACATTTATCGACTGCTTGACTTGGAAGAAATGTAAGCTTTTTTTTCCTGCAATGGCTTCTCAAAAGAAAGCATCAATTGTAAATGTCTCTTTAACAAACATCAACCAACCAGAGGGCTTGCTTCGACCACACCCCCGTTTTGTGCGGATATATCGTCAGCCATTTGTGTCAAGATCGTTTAGTTGAGGGTCAAAATCGGGTTTCAATCGACTTGCAGAAATAACAATAAAGAACTGGTAGGTGTCATGAGTGGTGCTCGATAGGCCAATCATCCATGATTATGTTTACATTAAGTTTTAATCGATTGCATGCTATGATAGCGTAGCTATCGGCGAAGCAGTCGGGTGGGGTACACCGAAGTGTCCGGCCTTGTCATAATGTATTATACTGTGAAGCATTTCGAGTGAGGGGGTCATCTCAAATTTTTGTATATAATTTATAAAATGTTTAATCCTCGCAAAGACACGAGGGCCTGTGTTAACAACCTGCACTGGTGCATGTTAACAATGGCTGGTGCATGTTACCTTCACTATCATATAGCTGTCGTCGTGTATTTTAATTCGGAAGTAAGTGACTCAAAGTAATATGTTTCTCTCCGCGTGACTTATTACAAGCAGAAACATCTGAAGTAATCATATAATTGAGATTTCTAAATAAAGGTAATGCAAAATTGCAACAGAATCATTCGTCACTTATCATTATGGGGGTCAGGTTCTGAGTGAGTGAGTTTAGTTTTACGCCGCACTCAGCAATAGTCCAGCTATATTGCGGCAGTCTGTAAATAATCGAGTCTGGACCAGACAATCCAGTGATCAACAGCATGAGCATCGATCTATGCAATTGGAAACCGATGACATGTGTCAATCAAGTCAGCGAGCCTGACCACCCGATCCTGTTAGTCGCCTCTTACGACAAGCATAGGTTACTGAAGATCAGTATTCTAACCCTGACCTTCACGGGTGGGTCAGGTTCTCATGAGTGTATCTGATACTGAATACTTGTGAGGTGAGTGAAATTGGGTTTAACGTCGTGCTTGAGAAATTGGGTTTAAGTGTATGTCGGCTGCTTGAGAATATTTGCTAGCCCACTGAGATACATATGTGAAGTGAGCCGACCAGTCCGTGGTGCATGCGGTGTAAGTGTATTTTGTGCGGGTCGAAGATTGTACTTATTTTATGGTGCAACTTGTTATGAAAATTGCTAAAATTTTGATGGTGCAACCAAGCTGGGTTGCACTCATTGCAGATACTGAAAAATACCCACCCAAAATCACTCCCTGCCTCAAATACTGGCTTACAGTAGCAGAAACACTAATGAAAGCAGGTATACACCTTTGTGTAAAGGCTTCTTGTTAAAGGGAAGGGTATAAACTCATAAGCATTATCCAACATCTGCATCCAACATCTGCATGTCCTTCCGTAGGAATGAAATGGTATGCTGTAGTACAGTACGTACTGCAATACAAGGCCTTCGGTTCGGTCCGTTTCGGTTCGGTACATGAGAACTTACTTACGGGAAAACAGTGGTCGTCTAACAAAGAAATGCATAGATTTTAACAACATTATTCGATTTCTAGACACTTTAGAAAACGTTAAAAAAGGTTAATAAAACGATGGTATGAAAACGGAAAATACTGAATTTCTTTATTGCATTACAGTATAGTGAACTGAAGGCAAAATACAGTGGTTCTACTAATACTGCAATATACCATTTCACCACTACTCTTCCGTATCTGAATCTTCATCACCTCACCTTATAGAAGTCCTCCTCGAACTTGTAAGCTCCTCCCCCTGTGGCACAGATTGCACTAGATAAACTGGAAAAGTTTTTGGATTTTGCAAGATCTATAAAAGCGTACATTTCTGAGGTGGGAAAACGTATAAAGTGCAGAGATCCTCGTCTGTTTCCTATCATTTGGTTGGGCATTTCCAGATGGACATCTCTGATCCCTGTCTTGCCGTATGCGACATTCCCTGTCAGATAACGGCGGATTGTCCGCAGTGTTTCCACTTCCTCCAAACCATGTTCTTCAAACACAGCTGTAAGACTGCTGATGTCTCGTGGCTTTCGAAATACACCAGCAATTCACGCGGGGACACAATGTTCCGCCAATGTCCATTCCAAACCATGGCATTGCTGAAACAAACACAGAACAGGGCTAAGAAGTGTAGTGTATCACGATGAGTGAGTGAGTGGGTGAAGAAGTATGGTGTTGGTTTAAGAAGAAGGTGCAGTTGAGACAAGATGTTACTAAAGTGAGCGAGTTTTGAGTGAGAGAGAGAGGGAGAGAGAGAGAGAGAGAGAGAAGAGAGGGAGGGAGAGAGAGAGAGAGAGAGAGAGAGAGAGAGAGAGTATGGTATTACACTGCTTTCAACAATATTTCAGCAATATCACAGCAGGGGACACAAGAAATGGGCTTCACGCATTTGTACCCATATATAATTGAACCCGGGTCGTCAGCGTGACAAGCGAACTCTTCAGCAACTCAGGGGACCCACTGCCCATGTGTCACGACTGCAATATATACCCAGTAGCATTAATTCTAGTTCTGTGGTTATTTGGAACAATTGTCAGCTACTATGTCCTGTAAACATCAACATCAAGAGAGCCCATAACTGGACCCAATAACTAGTGGTGGTCCGATGATCGAAAATAATCGAAAATCGATCGAAAGATGGGTTAAAACTAATCATCGATCGTAAAAAACATATTTTCAATTAATCGGAATTTTGTTGTTTTAGTATAACACTTGAATGAAGGAGACTAACCATTAAATTTGATGAATATTCACGAACAAACATGCGCTCAACAGCATAAAGCTATGCGCATTGTAAAGTTTTAACCACTTTTATTGTCTTTTTTGCATGCATGCATTTCATCGCATGACAGTATTAGTTATAAAAAACATAATTAGTAAAAATATGGGGAAAAACCACTTAAAATTGGTGATTACATTAAAAATGTATATATTTCGATTATAATCGATAATTGTTCACCAGTCCTCTGATAATCAATAGTGGATTTGGTTTCCGATTCCCAACACTACCCATAACTGATTTATCGTGACAATGACCAGTCGAGAACAGGTGTTTGCTTTTGTTGCCATCATTTTCTAAAGCAACAGCTGTAGTAACAATGAAATATATTTCATCATTAACTACAAAATCTTTACAAAATCTGTTCAAATTGCAATTATGTAAGCTTTCCACAGTCCTTTTACATGTTATTAGAAACCCTTTATCAAAATGCTATGAAATAATTTATAAAAGAAATGACAATTACGCCATGCACACTTTCTGTATGATGACATTGAAATGTAATATATGATTGGAAATTACAAGAATAGTTTTCAACATTGATCAAATCAGATATACACTTATTTATGGATTTTCTCAACAACTGACCCATTTAGATAATGTCGCAGTGTGTTGACGATTGTACTTAGTAGCCTTAATGAATAGTGATAACTAGTGGTGGGGTGTCCTCCCATTACACAGACAGGCAGTTCGCAGACGCCTTAAAACAACATTTATGGTTCAAAGAACAGATTAGCTACTACCTGTTACCTACACATTACAATGGAATAGTCCAAATAAAAACAAGACATTAAAATGAACTTTGCGCCCAAGGTGAGGTGAAATTGGGTTTAATGTCGTGCTTGAGAATATTTCGCTCATATGACGACCTGCATGCCTGTGTATGTGTATGTGCGGCTGCTTGTACTAGCCCAGACTTAAGCTGGTTTTATAGTGCTAGCCCACTGAGATGCCATGCCGCAGTGAAGCATGAATACCCTACTCAGACACATTATACTGACTCCAAGCCGACCAGTCCTTGTTGAACCCATTAATGCCGAGCGCCAGGCAGGGACCAACAAATACCATATTTTAACGTCTTTTATATGGCCAGCGTTCAGGGATGAACCCGCGACCTTCCTCTCCGTCGCGCTCTCCACTACACCAAGGAGGGCTTTCTTACTTTAACCCAAATATTATTCATATTGAATAAGTAAGTTAAATGGTTTGCACACAAGAGTGAGTGAGTGTGAGTTTAGTTTTACGCAACACTCAGCAATATTCCAGCTATATGCCGGTTTGCACACAAGATTAAGATATATGATCAGTACACTTAATTATGATTTATTTAGAATAAATATTAAAAAAATGATGCATCATGTCAATGTGGCCATGCATGTGAGAATGTTTTTCATTACTACCTAGAATGTCCATTGTATACTATTCAAAGACATAAACTGTTAGAATATTTAGAAAATATTGTTAAAAATTAGAACACTGACTCTTATTAATCTTACATGGCAATGCAGGTGTCTCAGTTACTGAAAATCAGAATGTCTTCAAATATGTACATATCTATATCTCTCAAACAAAACTTTTTCTCAGTTATCTTCTCTTGTACATATCTATTATTGAGAGAGGGCTTTTCTAAGTTGGATAACTTTGGCCCAATCCTTTTCTTGAATGAATAAAATATGTTTCAATCAATAAACACAATCAAACCTCTCAGTGACAAAACCTGTTTTTATATTCGATAGTAATTGATAGTAAAAACAATTTTGAGAAGAGAAGACAGATTATCATTTAATCACAACAAAGTTCTATTTACACACAATCAAACTTCTCAGTAACGAACCTGTTTCAGGCTCACCCTGCTCTACTCACTAGACAGTGGACTGTTCCATTATACCCGTAGGTGTTACGCTAATTAACCTTCTAGTTCAGTGTCTGTCAATTGACTGTCTGTCAAATGGGTGTCTGTCAAATGGGTATCTGTCAATTGACTGTCAAATGGGTGTCTGTCAATTGACTGTCTGTCAAATGGGTGTTTGTCAAATGACTGTCTGTCAAATGGGTGTCTGTCAAATGGGAGATAACCAGAGTTGGGAACTGGTTGAAATCTCACAATTGACGATAGGTTCATTACCAACAAGAAATGATCGACAAAGATTGGTTAGCATCATTTTTCAGATTTTCCTATTCAGGTTAAGTTGTAATTGCAGATACGTATAAAGAAAAAAAAACTTGTGGTTCTTTGTTGTTGTTTTTTTGTTTTATTTAGAAACTGAGCAAATTGCATTGACAAATTTGTTATTTATTAAAGGAAAAGATGCAAAATGGAATATATCCTAGTTAGGCTGGATTGTGGTCAGTACTCTTATATATTTATATTTAATGTGGGAACTCGTCATTGTTGTGATTTTAACACTGTCTTAATCATCAAAACATATAAAAGAATGAACTTTGTTATTGTTTCACTTAAAGGCACAATGTCACACATTTTCAACAATATTTTGGCCTATAATTCAGGGCTCCAGATAAGGGCCTTATCGGCGTATGTACGGATAAAAAATATGCATGATACGGAAAGAGATAATTTAGAAAACGTAGCAGATACGCACCACGACAATGGTGCACGGTCTTAGAATTATTTAGTATTTACAGACGTTATTATCTGAAAAAAGTATTGTTTTATTGTTTATTGGCCTGTTTACACAAGACTAGCAATGTTGTGGTGCATATATGAAACGAAACACAAGATTACTGATACTCCATTAAATTCCATTCAGTACTCTAATGTACTCTAACTTTTTTCCATACTCCTGTATTGAAAAAATCAGGAGTATGTACTCCTGATCATGAAAAATTATCTGAAGCCCTGCTATATGATATATATATTGGGGCATATGCACTCACTTTAGCTTGTTATTAATCCAATAAAAGACTTATTATCCCTTAAGACTAGCCTGAAATTGATAACAAGCATTGTCACTAAGGTGACATAATCCCCCGCCGCAAATTATCAAATCAAACTTAAAAAGTAATGAAAGTGAAGGTTGTAATTTAAGATGAAGTTAAATGTAAACAAAAACATGACCAGTCAACCTCTCTTGATATCTTGCTCCGTAGTTGTTCAAACGCACAAATATTTTCAAGACTCACTTTGACCTTGGCATGAATGTCTTAGTGTATGAAATATGCAAAAATAGTAATGAAGAAATTGCTTATTGAAAAACATTCAAGGGAAGTCTTGAAAGTCTATGAAGAAAATCCAGTGAACTGTTCTTGAGATATCTTGCTGACAATCTTAACATGCAGTTTAAGATGCTGAAATCTTCAAAGTGTCGCCATGACAATGAAAATTATGTGAAGGTCACCAAAATCGACTGGGCCTTGCACCTTCCCAGATGAAGCTTGGTGTCAAATATGAAGAAAGTCCAGTAAATGGTCCTGAGATATCTCGCTGACAATCTTTACATGCAGGTTAACATGCTGAAATCTTCAGAGAGTCGCCATGACCTTGAAGGTCACCAAAATCGACTGGGCCCTGCGCCTTCCACAGATAAAGCTTGGTGCTGAATATGAAGAAAATCCAGTGAACGGTTCTTGAGATATCTCGCTGACAAGGGCAAAACGTTGAAGTCCCCTTGTGACCTAGAAATGAAGGTCAAGGTCACCAAACCTGACTGGGACCTTTCTTTTACTGTGATGAACCTAGGTACCAAATATGAAAAGAATCCAGTCAACGGTTCTTAAGATATTCCAATTTGTATGCGTACGTATGGACGGACTGAGCCTAATACTATATCCCCTGCTTCACGCTAAACGCACGGCGGGGGATAATTAAAACTTCGAGGCGAAAAGCCTAAAACAAAGAACACTTGCCATATTTTGAATGCAAACAATTGCTCTGTACATCGAAAAAACTGTCGCACGCGGTGTTGTCAGTGTTTGCCGAACTGGTTTCAATCACAAGTTGTATGGATATCCGTGATGCCCAAGGGACAAACTCTATGGGGTTAAAGCCAAATAATGTTTGGCCATAAGGCTCAAGATGATTAAATGTAACGTTGCATTCATTCATTCATTCAAAAGGCACCAGTACACCAGCAGACCTATCTATGTTAGAAGCTTGGTGAAGAAATGGTGAACGGTCTTAAAGTTCTGCTCCAGAATAGAGCACTACCTTCAATTTCAGTCGAAGTCAAACTTTTTGCCATGGAAATGCAAAAAATATTTTATTCAGAAATCCAAAAACACCAAAAGGCACCAGTACACCACCAGACCTATCTATGTGCCAAGTTTGGTGAAGAAATATTGAACGGTTTTCAAGTTCTGCTC